TTTCTAGCTAAAAACATGTGAAAACTTTTAAAAACATGTGCTCATGAGCACATTGTGCACATAGATTTTATACACTGGAAGTAACTGATTCGAATCGGCTAATTGAAGATACGGATATCTGTATAATAATACGGATATCCAGATAAACCGGATATCATGAAGTCAGATACGCTAATTGGATATAGCACTCAAGAGTACCTTTAGCCAATGTTGGCCACTGGAACGTTCCAGTGGGAATTACTGAAACTGAACTTAAATGGATGGAATGGAAGCATGATAGCTTCCAGGGATCGAATGTCCAGTGAAAATTTTTTGTCACTAAAATGGCAATGCCTGGTGACTTTTAGTGACTTCTTAAGCTAAAAAACAAGCAGTTATCCGGATATATCTTTTAAAAAACGGGTACATCAACCGGGTATCCGGATACCCGGGTCCAAACTCTATACAACATAGAGTCTGTTCTCAAAAGGAATCTTCACGAACGAGGTGGTTAACGCACAATATAAGATATTATACAAGCCTACAAGATTTTGTTGTTAAATATTCCGATTGTGCCATCTCAAACAGCACGTGAACGAATTTCTCTAAAAATTATTGAAGTCCGGAGCCTTGATATCTAGTTTTAATTTTATAACTTTTACTTAAAAAATTTTATAAAATATCCATATATCATTTAAAATAGCATAATTTTGATATAAAGAACTCAAAATTTTATAATTTTTATAATGGTTCAGGCTAAAAAGAGCTATGGTTTCTTAAAGAAACATGGTGATATAATGAACTTTTTTTTTCAGAACTATAGAAAGAGTTTTCTGTATTTATTTTTTCAATATTCGTTTAATAAATTTTACTGTATATAAAGTATTTATTATATAACATCTTAGCAGAACTTGCCAATCGTCATTTCGCCAACAATATACATCTAGTCAGCACTAACTATAAATCAAGCCAATCCTAGTTATCAACGAAATTGGTTTATAACATTTTTCTCTTTAGGTACGTATATACATGAAGATATATAACAATTAATGAATTATTGTAACATGGCAATAATAAATATAATGCTCCCAATTTAATAACCTCCTTTTCTTGATTTAATAATCTAAATACCAATATAAAAATAAGCAATAAATTTGTTTAATTATAAATGAATCAGATATATTGCTTACCATCGGGAATTTCAATATCATCAATGCAATGACTTTCTATAACATATACAGTACAGTATTAAAACTATAGTTTAAATTCAATTTAAGAAAATAAATAATAACATATCTGCACATTACTAATTTTAAAAAATATCTGGTTTAGGGAGTTTTAAAAGATTTAAAAATCGAATTGTATAAATAGCTTAGGGATGTATCTGATATTTAAATTGACTCGATTAAATATTAAAAATTTTTGTCAGTGTCTTTAATATTTTAGTTTGCTTAGACAATTCAGTTTTTTCATAATTCAAATCATCATAAAATCGATACAGCGTATTATCTAATTCTTTAGAAGTTGGTCTGTTTTGAAGTTCTGCATTTAAACATTAATTCATCAGATCCAAAAGTAATTGAGGAACTTCGCATCTAATTTGGGGTCTATAATCTAGACAAATACGTGTTGCTAATTCTTCGTTGTGCGGGAATATCATGATATAGAGATATCCAGTAAAAATTTCTGACATAATTATTTCGAAAGAATAAATATCTGATTTTTGAGTGTACAGTATTCCTTTCCATTTGTATACAATACTTCTGGTGCAATATAGGGAAGCACACCAAAAAATGCTTTAGAACTTGAGTCTTGTAACACTGGCTTACTGTACATAAACCAAAATCAGTAATGTAAGAATCAATCATATTTCGATTATCTATATTTCCGGAATCTTTATGCACTAATTTGGCTTCATGGATCAAATCTTATAATATATCCATCAATCCATACCGCCTTAAAAACAGTGACAAAATCTCCTTTAGCAAGATACTTTATATTTGTAAATTTGCTAAAGGGTATCCATTCAATAATGTCTTTAAATTTCTTTGCATTAAGTTGTGCTTGTTGAATTAATTGATCAATATCATAATTATCACTTGTCCAATTACGAAATTCTTCCTCAAGTCAATAAATTTTGAAAACAATAAATATAATAATTATAATTAAACTAAAATTTATAAAATTTAATAAATCATTATACCATCTATCATGGGACAATTATTTATTGCGTTAGAGTTATCTTGATTCGAATAGTGGATTACTATAAAAAAATTCGCGGTTACTGGCTATTGTGGTGCATAAAGTGATTTAAATAGGGTTATGTTAGTTTTGTAATGAACTTATCGTGATTTATATAGCGATTTGCTGTAAACCGTTCGGTTACTGTACTTGCTCGCTATGGTGGCATACGTGATTTAGATAGGGTTATGTTAGTTTTGTAATGGGCTTATCGTGGTTTAGTGATTTACTACGGTTACTGTACGTAGTTAAAAGTTGCATTTAGAGAGATAGAGGACTGCCGAAATTAAAATTAAATTTCAAATTTGTGGATTGAACATGTCAAAGATATAGTAAAATATAGCTGATAGGACGAACTTTTGAAATATAAATTCGTAAATTTTTGATATTGTGAACGTTTAAATAATGAAAAAAATAACATTTAATTGAATTTAATAGTATGTACAACAAGCAAGCAAAAAAAAAAAAAAAAAAAAAGATAGTAAAAAGATTTTAGGCTGGGTTTTTATTACGAACTTATGAATTTATTATTGTAGAGTCACATGATTAGTTAACAACCAATCAGTCACGATGCTAACTCGAGGTTAACATTAGGGCAATGTTATGGGAAAACTGCTCTCTCGCATTCTTATTAGCATCCTAAAATAGGTTAGACTCCCGTTTTCCGCAGTTTTCATTGTATTTTTTACTTTTTTACTTTCTTTTTACTTCGTAAAAATTTACAAATAAGGAATTTGAAAATGGGATCAGTAAAATTGGTTTATCAGCTGCTCTATCTATCATGCATCTGTTTTTCTATCGAAACTTCTCTATCTATGGCACAGCAATGATAATAGCATTGTAACAATTAAAAGCACTACAAAACACGCTATCAAAAAACCACATCAACAGCGAAACCCAATAATGATGAAACCGTGATACCAGCAATACTGTAATTGCTCAAAATTATTAGAATAAAGTAAGTACATACATACATACGTGGGAAATTTAAAACTTCAATCTCCTATATAGAGATTATGAATAAACTGCGCATTGAAGTAAATTTCTTTAATTAGTAATTTCAATAAAGAGGAGATATGACTTAAAATAAGCCTTTACTGGATTTGGCTTATTTTCAATGTGTTAGTTGATCTTTTATTCTATATAAAGTGATAGAAGTTGTTGGATTTTCTGCGCCATACATACGAACGTAAGTAAGTACGTATGTACGTACGTACGCGGGCTAAAACGATCAACAATAATAATCACGGTTCGTATATATGCAATAACATATATAATGCTTTGATTTTTTGGCAACCCGTCAATATATAAAAAACAAATTTTTAATTTTTAAAATCCTTTTTAGATTAAAAATGTCGTCAGTAAACAATGATAACGATAATAAAATATGTGAATTATTTGATTTTTCTTATGAAGATAATTTTGATAATAGTACAACTAAAGGTAATATCGGTGAGCTACAAGCGTTTATACGATTACGTGAAATTCAAGGTTGTTTTATTTCTCGAAGACCTATTTTACCAAATGGTGATGGAAAAATTGATTTACAAGGATATCAAAAAGATACTTATTATATTATTCAAGTCAAATATCACAAAAAACAAATTTGTGAAGTTACGGATCAAGTTGTAGAAAAAAAAAAAATTAAAGAATTTGAACAATTTTTAGATGAGGTTAAACATTATCCAAACGCTAAAGCTATTTTTTATGACACTTCTGGAGTAGAAATATATAAAGATATACACGAAAATTATGATAATGGTAGAATATTTGTGGTCGATTCAATCGAAGATATGATTGGATTGATTGAAAGCATTTCAAAAGGAAAGCATAAAGAAAAGATCTTGTGTAAAAGACCACAGAATAAATTAACTGAGAAAAAAGATATTGGAAAATATTTAAAAGATTTGAATGAAAAGTATATGGAATTATACGCTATTAATTATGAATTTAGATTTCCTTTTGAATTAAAAGGAAATGAAAACGAAATCGGATATTCCGGAATCGATTTTGTTGGATTTTATAAAGTTCCTAAGATTAAACATCCAATTTCGATTAGAGACGAAAGTTCAATAAAGAAAGTTGATGATAAAAATTTAAATAATGATAATCTTAAATTACTAAAAAGATATTATCGAGAATTTTTTAAAGCAGTGTCTGTATATTTACATACTGGTTATTTGGGAATTTTTATAGTCGATCAATCCTTTTATAATGATAATAGTTTGAACGAATATTATTTTATTGATCAGGAAATTATTGTTTGCACGAAAGAAAATATTCTTAAAAACGTTCGTAAATATTTTGATTTTGATTCAGAGTTTCGAAAAAGACGTCGTTTTTCAAAACGAATGATTAATAATTTGGAAAAGGTGAATCAAGAATTAAAACATAAAATAGGAACATTGAAAAAACAGTTAAAAGAAAAGTAGAAAAACAATTTATAAAAAATTAAAATTTATTTTTTAAAGTTTTTTTTTTAAAAAAAATTTATAAATTTGCAAAAAATAAAATATACATTCAACCGTTACAAATGAAATTATAACAGCAAATTTTTTAAGAATTTATCATAAAATTAAAGATAAAAATAATTTAGAAAAAAAAATTCAATGTTAGAATTTTCGAATAACATTAAAATTTTCGAATGAATAAAAATCGTTAAGTTAGTAATAGCCCTTTAAAGAACAGGAGGGAACGTTGTTGTTACACAACTGATTTTACACATGGTGTGAAACACATATCGGACTTGATCAGTCAGCTAGTACATGTTACGATTATAACCCAACATCATTTTTTTATAATAAAAAATGGTGTTGGATTATAATCATAACATGTACTAGCTGACTGATCAAGTCCGATCAAAGTATTGTAAAATAATTTTTTTATGTGTTTCACACCGTGTGCAAAATCAGTCGTGTAATAATTTTATGTTCTAACTGTCGTAGAGAAGACAAGTACGTTAGTACTACGTTCGGGTATGTTCGGATGTGATTACGTGAAAGTGATGGGACGGGTTCACGTGGGGAACGTGTGGCTTATAGTAGCATTACGATATATCAAGTAGATCAGTAAACTTTTATGCAAACAGAGTATATTGTAGTTTGTGCGTAATCATGCATAATATATGCGTCATTGATTTGTAGTTTGATAAAGTAACGATGAAGTATAATAAGAGAAACGATTAGTAAGCCAAAATGTCTCTTGCTCTCGAATACAAAAATAAAATCAAACCTTCGCTCTTATAAGCACCGCGTCGTTGTAATCGAGTGTTGCTCAACTGTGAAATCAGGTAAAAGCGGTCTCGCCAACGCTGTGTGTTCGGGGCAGATGCAATAAATCCGAGATGGATATCTGTTGGGTTGTTCCCCATTTGTTAACCACCACGACAATAACTAATTCTAAAATCTGAAAAATTTAATCACTAATATGCAATTGCTGCCTTTTGATTGAGTTAATCAATGGTCCCAATGTATGTTATGATAAATCTATATCGATAAAATGTGTCAAAAGTGGGAAATATAGGTTTTCTTATGTACGTTAATCACATTATGCTTGTTAATTTTTCAGTTCATAATTTAGGATTACCCTATTAATATCTTGTTCAAAGAATTTTGGATGTATGTTTTGTTAAATTTAATGTAATATAAAAAATATCTAGATTTTTACATGATCGCAGCCATTTTTCATAGGAAAAAGAGTTGATTTTGTGCATTAAAGAAATTCTTAAACGTCCAGTAGTCTCATATTTCGTGATTTTCTTTTTTTGTAATTTCGGAAATATTAGAACTCAGATGATAGAGGAGCGCAAAAGCTTTGCGTAATTATCAATGAAACGAATTTATGATTACAAAAATTGATTAAAAATCATACTCTGATAACAGAATTTGAAAGCTTGCCACCTTTACATGTTGCGATTTAAATCATGCAGCTGAATTAAAATATCAATTTCGTTTTTCAAAGTTTTGTCGAGAGCAAACATACCATATATCAATGTAATGCAATCACAACTGCGATTTTTGATCAATTGTAGATAGCCTTTCGGAAATATATAAAGCGTATGCTATGTACTATACAAAGGTGTTGAAAAAATTTCTATTAGTATCTATATATATGGTTAAACATTTTAAATGCAATTTGTACAGACTAACTTATGAACTTAGAAAGGTTTGCATAATTGCAACTTCACTACAATCGGTCATAATTTATTACCTCAATGCACACAATATCAATAACCTCTATTTTTTGTCGCGGATTATGGTGAAATCGGATCATCGTGAAATATAGGGCCTTAATTTAAAAATATAAGCCCTCACAACCCTAACAAAACCTACTTATACTCTTTTATTATAAACGCTAACCCTAAATACTAATCCGGATTCAAAAAAAAGCCTAAAAAAATATACCCCAAAAAATTTTAAAAATTGGAATCCGGATTTCACGATCATCCGCGACATTTTTTAATAGGTCAATACATTAAATTAACAATTTCAGCATTATTTTTGCCTAAATTATATGTTTCTTTTAATACCCATCCCCCTCTTACAGTAAAAGTTATGTTAAACAGAAAATTAAGTTTGTCTGGCATAAATAAGAAAAAGTTACTATAAATACATCTTCTTAAGTGATTGTTACATTTTTATATAATTTAATTTAAACTTAAAGTTGAGAAATTTCTCGAGATTTCTACTATACTGATCGGTTTACTAAACTTTTTCGAATCATATATTTTGCTAGTATATACGTCTTGAGAATGGATTTGCTCAATCGGTTCTGGTTTAATCTCATTAGCTTCCACAAATTGTTTTTTGATTTCATTACCATCTTCTTGATCCATTTCTTCTAACCAACGAGTGATTATTTTAATAATTTCAGTAACAGTAGGTCGTTTATCAATATCTTCATCCATACAATACATAGCTAATTTAACATAACAATCTGGTCCTAAACATTTAGGTCTTGAACCACCGATGATTATTGATGCAAGATTATCATCAAACGGAATTCCATCATATGCTCTTTGTCCGGTCGAAATCTCTGTCGCGATAACTCCAAGACTGTAAATATCTGATGCTTGGGTGTACGGTTGACCTACCAAAACCTCGGGTGCCATATACGACAAAATTCCACAAATTTTTCCTTTCTTTAATTTTTTAGAAAGTCCAAGATCTGTGATATATGCGTTATTTAAAGTAAGACTTTGCAAAATATTTCCGCTGTGTAAATCTCTATGAACGAGTCCTTGTGAATGGATAGTCTCAAGATCTAACGCTATATTGTACAAAATATTCAATTTATCTTTCCATTCCAATTGTGATACTTGTACAAGATTTTGCCGTAATGAACCTTTTATTGCATTATGCATAACGATAATATAATCACCACAATCATTTCTTGACACTCCAAAACATTCCAAGAACGAAGGATTCTTGTAACCAATTTCACAATAATTCTTCAATTCGTGAATGAACTCTTGCTCGTTTTCATGAATAACTTTAAGTGCACCACAGCACCACATACTATTAATTCTATCAAACCATTCTGCATAATATACAGTTGCAAATCCTCCTTTTCCCAATTCCTTGATATCTCCGAACTCATTATAATCAATCCAAGACAATTTAAATCTCTCATCATCTAATATTTTCTTAAGTTCAGGATTAATATGATCTGGTGATTTATTAGTTTTCAAAAGACTTCTATACTTTGTATACCAATAATTTGCACTCTGAATATCTCTCTTTGTACCGATGCCGTTTCGATAAAATTTAACAATATTACTCATTGCTGCATCAATACCTATATCAGCAGATTTTTTATAGTATATAAATGCTTTATTATAATCTCGATCAACCCCTATTCCACTTTCATAACAACCACCAACATTACTTATTGCAATAGCATTATCCAAGTCAGCAGATTTCTTATAATATTCAAATGCTTTCTGGCAATTTATTTTTATTCCAATTCCTAATTCATAACAAAGACCAACCTCATTCATCGCATCGGAATTTCCTAAATCAGCAGCTTTCAAATAATATTCAAAAGCCTTCTTTTCGTCTTTTTCAACACCGATACCATGTTGATAATTGTAGCCAAGTGTACAAAGTTTATAGTTATTTTTTTTTTTTGAAAATAAATTCATTTTCTATATAAAAACGTATATACTTTAATTGTCTGGAGTGTCATTTAACGTAATTAAAGTGATACAAAAGTTATATCAATAATTATATCAATACGTTTTTGATTAATTCATTTGTAGATTTATAAAGATTAAAAACGTATACTTGAAACTTTTTCGTGTAAGACTGCATGCATATTTTTGTTTTAGTGTAACAAATACAAAACTTTATTAATGAAAAGGTAGCCTATTCAAGAGTATTCAACTAATTTTTGCTATCGATTTGATTTGATATTATTGCTTATTATGGATAGAGATTACTAATTTTCCCCACTTTATTATCGGAGTACTATAAAATTGATTAAATAGCACCGATACTCCGATATGCGAATAATTAGTAGAACCAATCAGAAGTGGTGGGAAATTATAGTAAACTCGTTCCAATGCACTTCACCTAAAATTTTAGGATCGTCACAAAAAAAGCTAGACGCAATCTTTCTAAAAATAGTAAACAATGGTACTCGTAAATATAATTTCCAGTATACTGCATTTTATATAACGATAAAGTTTATTATTAATAACATGCTTAATATTGGTACATATGATCTAAGAATTTCATCGTTTTTCAATCATCAGATTTTTAAAAAGATCATCTTTTAATCGAAGTGAAGGAATATCCAAGAAATAAATCATTGTTTAAAAATTTTACGTTATACAATACCTTCTATTAAAAACGACATCCGTAATTAAGGTTCGATCCAAATATAATTTAAATACAATACATATATATATAATACTATTAATTGCTGAAATATATAATATTACCTTTTAGGGTTGATATTCCAACGTCAGTTTTGTACCAAATAAGGATAAGAAAGTAAGACTAAAATAAAATGACATTTCTAATAACTCGAAATAGTTAATAAAAATGAAATATAGTTAATAACTCGAAATAATTGGTAAAAATTAAAATATAGAAATAATGATCTAATTATCACTATACCATTTGTATTAAACACTTTTCAAAATTAATGCTAGATGTCAATCTCCATGAAATACGACCGCATATTAAAATAATAAAACATGCGTTATGGTCAGTATTGAGGACAATTATGTAATGTATTATAATAAATTTTGCAAGGAAATTTTTTTATTAGAACGCAAAAGAATTTTTGTTTTTTCAAATTTTGCGTTACTGTCTTGTAATTTTTAATCATTGCGTCATTCATTTAGTCCAATCTGAAAAGGTATTTACAGTATCCAATCAGATGCATGCATTAATCCAGAGTTAATACCTCAATCTGGATATATTTT